GTGTATATATGCGAGCACAGTGAAAAAGAGTCACGTACTGCTCATTTTGAGTACTTTTCATTTGGTTAGCGACTGTCCTAGGGTAAGGTGTCATCATTCTATTGTCGCCAATTGTGTTAGTTCGGATTGTAGCTTAACTTTGCGTCTCAAGTTGTTGTTTGCAGAATTCTTTAATTGAAAGTAGCCGCCTGGTCAGTTAGTTATCATTTGCTATAAGTATTGTAAAGGCTGTTTGATTGTGATATGCTTATACTTTCTTCTAGGTCTGAGGAAGCTGTTATATCAGCGAAAGCTCACCAATAAAGCTTGAAAAGAAAGAGTCCTCAACAACTACACAAAAATTTGCTAAAGAGAATATATTCAACCAATGGTGTTTAATCTCGTCCGCCAGTAGCGCGAAATCATATGCTTCCGTTTTTACCAACTACGCGCCACGATTGGGCGCTATCACCTATAGATAATGACCTCCCTCCCGTAGACGAAATCTAGGGCCTTTTTCCCCAGTCCCGAGACCATGGAACCGAGTTGTAAGATTGATAGCGAGCTCCGCCCACTTTCGTGCACGCCACCCCCACCATTAATATTTTAGCACCCCTTGCCCCCCTACTCGGTGACCTGCTTATCTTTCTATTTGCTTTTTTTTCTGGACTCTAAGTCATCTCGTAGAGGGCCCGAATTATGAGGTCTTGTATACGCTGTCTACTTGAGGGCATGCTCAGCCCATTGCAGGCGGGCTCTCCGTCACTCCATGTGTACTGGGAGCACCTTGGACATTGACTCCCTACAAAGTTTTTAATCTGCTCCGTAGGCTTTCTTCAAAAAGGGTTATGAATTTTTCAAGCACCATTTTTCTAGAGAATGCCCAACCCAACAAAGGTGAGACTCCATGATTCGATCTGGCTTGTTGATGCACATCTTTAGACGTTTTTCGCGGTTCCTCGGCTGTTTTGGAATAAAATCTGGAAATTTTTCGCGCCAGTGCCTCTCATTCCAGTGCGCGCCACGCCCGCTCGCGGGACTCCAGTTAACTGTGTATTTCGTACTTCTTGAGGTGTCTCACAAGCCGAACCTTTAGGAGATAGGGAATTTCGTGACAAACACTGTGACTGACCGACGAAGCGGATTATATAATTTGCAGGACAAGTACAGATGTTAAAGTGTAACCCATCAATTATACAGAGAAGTCACTTCATATTTTAATCTTTTCAACCATCACAACAAAATGTAATAACAATATCGAACAAATTGATGAGAAGAAGAGATTATATATCAAATAATTATGACATGAACTATTCACACACATATAATACTTGATGAGAGAGAAAGTAGGGAAATGCCGATATGACGGAAATTGACTGCTAAACAGCGCTGGTTGTTCCAGAACGGATGAGCTGAATGAGGCGTTAGGAATTACCACAGAGTTAATTTGTGAGGATTTTGTGTTTTGAGTTCAAATCCACAAGACAACAGACGAATACAATGGTTCAAATATAAAGCATTGATAAGGTCGAAGTTGTTGAGTTCATACAATGCCAGCGTCTTTAGCCATGCTATAAAAGACACCCTCTGGTTTAGCCAGAAGTGATTTAGGCGAGTCGAATTCTACAACGCATCCTGCCGATAGGACAAGAAGCCGGTCACAGTCCATCACCTAAAAGTTGATCAGTAGAGAAAATAAGGATGGGTAGTGAGACCGTCAAATGTTCCGAATAAGGTGAACCGTCCGTTCGCACTATTCGATCAAGGGGGTCGCATTTGCGATTTGAGAAGAGGGATCGCATTTAGTGGTTGAGCAAGGCTATGCTCCTCTGGTAAAAGTGTGGAAGGGGTTGTTCGCAGCCTCATGATACCACACCTCCCCACCCCATCCCGCTCCCCCACTCGCTCGACGGCTGTTTTGGAGGGAAAGGTGGGGGGATTGGGTGTTTCGGCTGGTCACAGAATCAAATGCTATGGAAACAGCCACGATATTGAGGGTAGCGAGTCGAGGAGGGAGGAACTCGTATTAGTGAAGCCTTCTAATTGAAGTAATCCTACCCGGAAAAATCTTGCACTCTTTCCCAACACGAATGTCAGTTGTGATCACTGGAAACAACACACAAAGTTTCACGCATGAAGATTCGGTTTCCGAAGAGAAACAAACTACAAAAACTACACTCTATGGACAATCGAAGGTAAAAGGCGCGGAGCCAAAGGCGGCATGGAAAGAAGTCCGCCTTGGGGCAGCTTACGTATCAGGCGACGCAATGAAAAAAAATCGGGTTAGAGCGTTCAATTTTGAAGAGTAGAGACAAATCGATCGAAAGATGGGATTCCGTAAAAGTGTGAGATGTTAATGCAATAAGTGAAAGGGCCAGA